CCACAGTAGCTCCTCGCACGAAACCATCGTTTCCAGGATGCACCTCTACAATCCTTCCGAATTTCCAAGTACTACGATTTGACTTCCCTTCTTCCATTACGGTGACAATATCACAACTGAGCAACTGATTGTGCGACGCTGGCCTGTGGTGCTCTCTTAGATCCACCACCTACTCACGTTTTTAACGGTTCCAAAATTGACCTAGAAATTTAGACAAATAACGCGGCCTTCTGGTGAGGAGTTGGACTTCCGTTTTATCTTCTTATGCGAATGCACATTCGTCAGGGATGGACAGAAGTCTCCTTTCTGTCAACAGATGAGAAGGCGTCAGGGGTTCTTCTGTATCGTCTGCGGATACATAGTTGAGTGGTCTCGAGTTCAGTACTCATTCCACCTCCACCACTGCAGTCAAAAGCTTGTCATATGTCAACTTCGCGTTCTTCAAAATTTTCTCGAGACAACGGTTAACATGCGTTCGAATCGAAGACACCGCCCCTCCACGGCGCTAACTCCAAATTGAATCGCCACTTAATCTTGTGATTCAAAGAGAAACTCTGAACTTCTGGTAACTCAAAGAGGAATGATAAGAACTTAGCAGCAGTCCTTAAGGTTTTGGGCGTTTTCTGACACGACTACCTTGGTATACCTCGTCTGCGGATGAAACGTGTAAAGCTTGTAATGAATGTTTTCGTGCTCAGGTCTGGTACAACATAAAGATGAATGGCTCTGCTACTTCCACAAGTGTGAAACACGATGTAGAACTTCTCCATACCATCTTTCTCTTTAGAGCCACTTTAACAAACAACGGTCCAGTGTTAGTGAAGGCAGGATTCTCTTCGACACGAAATTGAGGTGGGGCCGCCGTCGGCGGGATAGCATAATGCTGTCCCCTCCACCTTCTTGCAGTCCACGCATTTTAAAAGAATCTTACGAACGACTTGTCTTCCTTTCACAATCCAGAATCAAGACCTTAGTTCTGCCAAGGTTTCTCTCACTCCGTTGTGTAGGACTCGCTTGTGACAATCTTGAATGATAAGAACGGTTAGGTAGTGATCTGATGGCAGGAAAATGGGGAACTTGGTGTTAAATGGAATCGCACCAGTGTTGTTAGACGTGTCAGCTTCTTAAAGTCTCCGTATTTCCGGGGTTCGAAGATACTTGTCAACGGTATCATCCAAGAGTCCACATGAAGCCCAGAGGTAGGTTTTCTTTTGTCCTTCAGACGCATTTCTTCAAAGTAAGCTCTAAGGCTCGTGGGAATTTCCGATGAAGGGCCAAATCTTCTTTTCTTTCACCTGCCAAAATGGACCATGCCACCAAAATTGTGACTGTTTCAACGCATCTGATCCCATACCACGGAAGGGCAAGTCTGCGGGATTTTGAGATTCAGGGCAATGGTTCCAAGCGTCGGGCGGCACATTCTGACGAATTTCTTTGACTCTGTTCTCAACGAATTACTTGTATTCTTTGTACACCCCCTTGATCCAGTGAAGAGCCGTAGTGGAATCTGTCCAGCAAAATACTTCATTAATCTTAACCAACGGAAGTAGGGCTGAACGGACCAGGGTAATTAACCTGGATAGTGTAAGTGACGCTAAGAGCTCAATCCTGGGAAGGGTTTGTTTTGCAAGCCATACGACTCTTGACTGTCTCATCGACAACTGAACGAGACTCCTTGACTCGTTTCCACACTGAGATAAACAGCTGCTGCATAAGCCACTCCAGAGCCGTCTCCGAAGCCATATATTTGAAGTGAAATTACGCTCTCGTCTGGAAGATAACATCGTTGGATTGGGATGCATTCAGCTTTTGACAGATCTGATAACCATTGCGAGTACCTCAAAGAAAGTTCCTCGTCAAGAGGGTCGTCCCAACCAATTTTTAATTTGCATAAATCCCGAAAGAGTGTCTTGATTGTGATGAACAGGGGTGAAATCAAACCAAGAGGATCGTAAAACTTGGCCACAACCTTGAGTACAGTGCGCTTGTTTAAGATTAGTTCTTTAGCGAATTCATCCAGCCAGTCAAATCGGAAAACGAAAGTGTCTCTTTCGATATTCCAATTCAATCGAATAATTTTCTTCTCGCTTGAAACGAATGCGGAACAACTTTGAACTCCAAACTGAGTCTGCGCATACATACTGTCTTCTTCGGATAGCTTAACCACTTTAATTTTTAACTGGTACTCCTTCTTCGTCGATCCATTCCATCAGCCTCTTAGAACTTGACATCCACTCCCTTAAATTGAATCTAGCTTCCTTCATTCTTGATCTTGCTTTTTTGTAGAGCTCAAATGCTGGGGATCATTAACTTCATACTTAGTCGCTTGGTGAGCAAAAAGGAGAACTTGTGAGGCCAAATAAGACTCGGTTGAAACGTTTCACAGCAATGTTTCGATTTGTATTATCAGTTTCATCTATCCAAAGAAAGCGCAAAACATCTCGGTCAGCTTCTTTGATCTGGACCATTAGGTAGGTTTTTTAAATGTCGGCCGCCATAGCAACTCGGTGGTATCTGAAACGTATCATAACACTGGGTATGTTAGAAAGTAATTATGGACCTGCATAAAGACAGTCGTTTAACGCTGAACCAGTCGACTTGGCGGATGCATCATAGACTATCCTCACTTTAGTCGTCTGTTTATCTTCTCGCACAATTGGATGATGGTAAATAATGAACGTCACCAACTTGGATTGGTATATAAGGATCGACATCGGAGATTAATCCCCACTAAGATTTCTCTTCAATGATACGGTTGCACTCTTCAAATAATCCAGGATTCTTTTTTAAACGTTTTAGAACAGAAGCCAGGCGAGAATCATTAGCTTCATACTTAATCGCATGGTGTTTGATTGTTGCGTTCAGCAAAAAGGAGAACTTGTGACGCCAAATACGACTCGGGCATAGTTATCCAGTAATAATGCGTGCTGTTCCTTCCAAGGAAGAGATACTTAATAGCGGTCGTTGTTAAGGTGAATAGTATCCAAGAACTTCTCATGCACTGTCTCTTCTTATGTTGATACACCGATAGCTTCTAACTCCCAGAGTTTTTGTCACTTGTTCTAGCAGCGGGTCATAAATTCTCTTTTCGGTAACAGTGTCGTCACACGAGGAGGTGTCTAGCCGCAAGGTTTGGCTTGTGATCAAATGAACATTAGTATCTGAACCTGGTGTGTGGGGCCTATAGCACCCATCCAAGACTCGCCTTCACCGCCACAGGACCTGATACGCCCGTTTCGTGTCTCCAACGAAGAAAGACTGATAGAAATCGTTTCCAATTAGGACATCTGCTCTTGAATCACAGCCTTCCGATAATGGATCTGTTTTCTCAGCGATTTGCTTCATTGATGGTCATTACAACACTTCCTTGAGCAGCATTTTCTGAAATGACGCGACTGCTGTTGGCTGTATCGCAAATTGTCATGTAATGTCTTCCTGAGCAAATTGCGGCATGATTTGTGTTGAGAACAATTCTTTGCCAAATGGTTGCGACGTAAACATAAAGCAGCGGCCCTCTCGTTTCAATTGGTTTCTTCTGGCTTCGATGTCAGTGACTACACCACAACTCGCGCTGGGGTGCCCTTGCTCACAGAACGTACAGATCCCTCAGACTGATTAATCAGAACTAAAGCAGACGAAAACTCTTCACCTTTTTCTGGCGGCACTGAAAAATACTTCTTTGAGGTAGGAGGATCGGTCGGGTTTGTTCCAATCGGCCCCCAATCGCTCTCTCGCCTCAGTTTCATGGTCGAAGGCCTTAACTAAAACAACCAAATCCCATTCTGCTTGATCCGCGGCCCTTGAAATTATCAAGCGCATATTCAATGGTAATTTTCTCATGAGAAGGGGAATCAAAAGCTTCCCATACAATGCAGAATTTATTCCTAGGGCTTGTAAAGCTTGAACGTGTGCTTCAACTCAATCGTAAAAAAGGCGTAGACGTCTCAGACATTGTCCACTCTTACAGCTGATACTTTCACTAATTCCTCCATGTGAGCATTAATGATTACTCAGGGTTGCCCAAATCCTTTCTTCAGAATGGATTTGGCTGACTCGAAATTTTCTGCTGCTGTCATCGACAGCACTTGCAAACGATTTCCAGGATGTATTGAAGGAAATGGGATCACCATAGAATTTCTTCGACAGTTTTGCCTTTCCGATTGCAAGACTTTTAGTATGCGAATTAGGCTTAGAGAGAGGTATTTCCAGCCTCTTCCAGTTCAACTACGTGGAGAGTTTCGTCAATTTGCACTATTATTTGATGAAAAGATTCTCTGAAGTTTCCATTTTCCTTGATTTCATCTTCGAGTTGCTTTTCTGTTATACAGACAGAATTTCGTCGTCCAGGGCTACAAGGACATTGAGGTTTTCCGTACGAGCAATCCGATAAGTTTTCAATTGATTCACTAGAGGAGGTTCAAATTCATCGAGTAAGGCTTTTACTTTTTCCAAAGTCGTCGTAACGTATCCTTTATGTCCTTCTCGGATCTTTCTCTTCTTTTTCAATTCTTCATCAGCCATTTTTCCAGAGAGAGTGAATTCTTCAGTCAGTCAAAATTCCAAGGTCTCAGCACCATGTAAAAAATCCATTCACGAAAAAAGAGACTAGAGTCCAAACTCCATAAAAAATATGTAATAAACTTGTTAAATAAACCACAACATTTGGCTAAAGTAAAAAATCCTAAACTTCTTAAATTTCCAAGCAAATGAGTAACAAATTTACGCGAACGACAGCTCAAAAACAACTAAAACTCCACGAAAAACAAACTAAAAGTAAGCAAAAAGTGTCCACGTCAGTTTTCCAAATTTCGATTTCTTTAACGTGATTGGCTAATTTGTGAAATCACGCGCGTCGTGCGTGAATACCAAAGGAATTCAAAGGGGAGAGCGGAAGAGAAAAATTGTTACTTGAAATTTAAAAACGAAAGAGAATTTCTACACATTTTACCGAGAAAATCGTCAGTTTGAAGCAGATATTAGGTTATTTTTATCATTAACAGATGCTGGTGAAAATGCTTTTGGGAAAAGACGCCATGTAGCTAGTCTGGATTCTCCAACCAGAGAGCCTGTTCAGACCATAATTCTTCGCAAAAATATCAAAGCAAGGTTCGTTACCCTTGCCCTTTCGAACAAACGTCTGGAACTTCAGTTCCGTGAAGTGGAAATCTACAATGGTCCTTTGCTAGGTAACAATATGGCATCCTTGGTTGCAATAGATTTATGCTTCTTTAAAACTTATTTGTTCCATTGTCCTCAAGATTCATCTTTGAAAATTACTCCCTGATCCGCACCTAAAATATAGATTCCGTTTTGACAGCAAGCCTAAGAATATAATTCCGATGGGAAGCCAAGATTTTCTCTTGAACAAGAGGTCAACTTCAGGGCCAACCCTGTAATTCAGTTAGTTTTTTACATGTTACAGCATGTCTGGTATGTACCAGTATCTTTTACAGAAGGAGATACAGCAACAAGCAGAAATTTATTTCGACTTAACAACAAATAATAACCTGCATCCAAAAGAAACTCATAATATATTATAATTTTGACCTTTTAATAATTTACCACACACTTTTTGAGGGGGCAAAACCTAGCCCAGAGGTATTTCATTTTGATAATCCATTGCAAATTTTTTACTTTTTTTATCCAAGCTATTGATGATTGTAAAAGACCGAATATTTGTCCAAAAAACTTCAAATGTGTGAATGGGACGAAATCCTATAAATGTGTGTGCCGTGATGGATTCAGAGAGACTGGAACAAACAAATGTGAAGGTAATTCTCTTACTCTGTTATTATTATGATGATGATTATTACTAATTATAATATTATTACTAATACAAGTATTAGTATCATTATCATTATTTTTATTTCCCAAAAGTAGATATATCGAATTTGATAGAGGATGTCTTATGAATGAAATTCAATTTATTTGCTTTATTCGCACGGTAACGAATCCTGAAATCTGATTGGATCTTAGCGCGGTCCAGATTTTCCTAACTCTACCAAAAGGCACACTGAGTAACGCTTTTGCGAGTCGCAAACATTACAAACCAGTTTGTAATGCCATAATCTTTCACATAAAGTAACTCAAAAAGTGAGAATCGTGAGGTGTTTGTTTACCATTAGATATGTTAATGTAACTTTCATTCATTTAATACCTGAATTCTCCAAAACAATTTGTTCACTGTAAAAAGTTGGGCAAAGTCTTGATTTGTACAACAAGTACACTTTCAGTTAGTCTTTGCGATTCCGTTGCATTTGGACAATTGGAGTAACATGTTGATATTGATCTCTCTCTGCTTGTGAAGATGTTTATGCATATAAAACTTAAATGGTTATATCAACTAATATCTATCTTACAATCATCATTATCGATATCGATTCCGGGAAAAAGGGCGAAAGACGAATCCTCAGTCTCGTACTTAGTCCACAAAATATTACCAGTAGCCTCTCATTCAAGAAAAGAGAGGGCACGGCGTGTAAGGAGCGCCACTCAACTGCCCGAAAAGTCGAATTAACTCGTGTATTACGTCCGCTAGTGGCTCGGCATTTCAACTTTTTCTGGTTCTGTGTCGGTGTTCTCATTGCGGAAAATAAATGGGAAAGAGTTTTTTAAACTTTCGTCGGGTAATAAGACATGTAAGAACAGAAAAAGCTTCTTCCTATATCAAATATTGATTAGAACCAGTTCGAACCTCGTTGTGAAGCTTAGTTTACGGTAAAAACTGTAAAATTGGGCTTGATTTTGCAAGGTTTGTAAAGTCAGGTTTTTTTCCACCATATTAAATGAAAAGGTCTCGGCAGATGTGAAGTCAGAATTGAAAGCTTACCTGATATTGCGGAATGGTTCAAAAGAAGCCCACCTGCTCATGTTCATTGAAATGTTTAGCCAAATTTTGCCATACTTCATTATCGCGCGATTTTAACATGTCCTTGGTTTTCTGAATCGACAGAGATAAAGGACTGCATTCCCGCCTGTGCTGCAAATAACTCCTTCTGTAATACGTCCTTTGGGTCTTACATATGTGAGTGCCCATACGGATTTAATCCATTGTTAGGTCATAAAGGAGTTCTTCTTCATTGTGAAGGTATGACGAAGTTGCATGTTTTAGTTTTTCGATGCCATCTAAAGAAGAAAATAGAAACATTTCTGACGTTTACTCTTATTTGAAGTCAAATAGGAATACCCCTCAGGCTGCTGTTTAAAAAAAACGTATCTTGGCTAGGGGGTAGACAGTCTTTCTGGCATAAAGGCTGAGAGAGGTGTGTTTATTTGCTTTCGACATCTTAACTCTGATGTACTGATTTGGTTCTGTCAATCAGGAAGCGCTGATGTCGATGACAAGTGCAAACTACTTACAGCTATAAGAACATTAACGTGGTGCCCCTGTGTTCTCTATCTCCTCTCCACCTCCTCCCTCCCGACCTTTTCTTAATCATGTCTTTTGTATTACATTAAATGTACAAACCAATAAATTTGGTGAATTGAATAATTAACCTCTAACCAATTTCAGATGTTAACGAGTGCGAAAAACCGATGTCAAACAGATGTGGAAATACATCCATTTGTGTCAATGCACGTGGTTTTTACAACTGTACCTGTAAGAGTGGATATGTTTTGGAAAAAAGTGGCCTTAAATTTGAATGTAAAGGTTAGTTTTTTGTACCTCTTGCAAAATGAATGCGACGTGTAACTTGCAATCGGTTGGATCGCAGTGTGAAAGTTACATTGCATGTCCTTCCATGTTTGTCTCGAAAGAACTGGGATGGGCGTTGTTAAAAAGGGATGGTCTTTCGTGCGTGATGCGAACAAACAGCAAAACTTTCTTGACGAATTCACAATCGGTATCCATACCAAATCATTGTTATCGTTTCACAAATATTTCCTAGTCCAGCTATACACCGGCGCACCTCCATTGCTTGAATGGCATTTTATCAAGGAGGATCGGTTACTCACTTACCAGCACTCTGTTTATATATATATATTTCTGTGATAGAAATCTAGTGTTGCGTCTGTCACCCTTGTAAGCTTATCGCTTTTATTATTTTTCTCTAGATATCGATGAATGCGCAATGAAAAACTCTTGTCACGTGAACACCACGTGTTCTAACACCCCTGGTTCTTATAGGTGCACGTGTTCCCATGGACTCGGTGGAGATGGCTACAAATCCTGCTTAAGTAAGAGAGGCTGTCACCAGCTCTTTATGAGGTTAAGATGAACGCAGTTATTTAGCCCCTTAAGCGACCATCATTGCTATTCAACATCTCTTCAACAGGTTCCGCTATAGGCTGATTTTTGTAAATCTAAAACCAGTTCATACCCGTTGACAACATTTGTTTAGGCTGCATTTAATTAAATGATAATACTTATTCTGAAAATGCTTTTTCCAAGCGTATGGAATTGAATTTAGCAAGATTTCTCTATCATACCAGAACTACCTCGCTGCCCCAATGGCAAGTGCAAAAAGAATGCAATTTGTAAAGATTTCAATGGTACTGACCTGTGTGATTGCAAAGGAGGCTATCATTTCAACGGCAAGATCTGTGTTGGTAAGGACATTGTCTTCATCATCATTATTTAACAAAGAGAACAGTGATTTGGAGATTGTTTCCTTTAGAAATGGCAATTCTTTTTTTGTACTACCTGCTCAATCGTTACAAGTAGCGAGCGGTTAAATGGCTCCAGTTCACTACTTCTTCTCTCCGTTTAACCCTGATATGCAACAAGAGAGCACTCTCTTGTTTACAAGTTATCAGTTCAACAACAACAACAAAAGTGAAAACGAAACAGGTTCTGTTTACCGCAGAACTTAACCTTAGATAGCCTCGCGCTTGGCTCAAACTTTTCATAGCCATTTCGATTTTTAATTTTGTTCGCTTAGTGATTCAGCCGCTGAGCTTACTCCCGGCTAAGCTAGGTGGGAAGAACGGTTGAACTCTTCCAAATTGTGGAAGCCGTTCTTAATTTTTCAGCCGCATGTACTTAATTCAAGTTGGTAACTGATAACTTAATTTCTTTTTCCTCATCTTTTAGACACAGATGAATGTCAACTAGACAAAAGTATCTGCGGTTCAAACTCCGTTTGTTCAAACACTCGGGGATCTTACCACTGCAACTGTGAAGTTGGCTTCAGGAGTGACGAGGACAGTGGAAAAAACTGTAACGGTGACTTTTGGTTGATGTGACTTTCTAATATAAACGAGCAAGCTGCTATGAATGTGATAAAACACTTCAAGAATATCTTTTATCGTGAAAATGAGCTTAGTCGGCCGGGAGGAGGTCCGTATGGTAATACACTGTGCTTGAGGTCTTGAATACGGCTCGAAGCCCAAGCTAAAGGCGTTACCCATGACCATGGGCACAGTTTTTTCCAATACAGTGTTTATGTGTTGTTTGCTTTTCCCGCTTTGCTATGAATGGCCAATCAGAGCGCTCAACCCTCTATAAATACTTGACTCAATACACTTATATTATCTATTGACATTTGTTATCGTAGAAATAAATGAATGCGAGAAAAAAGACTTATGTGGTGTTGTAGCAGAGTGTGAGGACATTTTTGGATCATACAAATGCAAATGCCCGCATGGATTTTCCTATGATAAAACAGAAAAGAAATGTTTTGGTGAGAAACATTGCATATTTTAATATTCAGAATAAATAATTTTTGTTCGACATCCATATCGATTTCAAATAAAACGCGTGTTTATGTGTTTAAGAAGAATTTAAAAATTTTTACCGTGATATTTCTATATACTTTCTCGCAGATAATGATGAATGCACAATTAGTCATTCGTGTCAATCCTATATGATTTGTGCAAACACATTTGGATCCTACTCCTGCCGCTGTCACCAAGGATATCGCGCAGACAAATTATTTTGTACAGGTAATGATTAGGTGAAGAGCACGATATAAAAACAGTGCCAATGCCTCTTCTCGGTTGAATGCAACTCTTTCGCTATCTACGCACCCACTAAGCTAAATCCAAGGTGACGTGGAAAATGTTGTTTCATAAATTTTTATTAATAAGTTGAAATGAAATAACTTTAATTTAACTAGCGGATAAGAATCAAGCAAAGAAATAATCCACACTAGCGGAGTGCAATTTTGGCAATTGCATCGAAGAATCCTGAATAAACTCTTTGAGGAGATTCCCAGATACTATTTGGGTAGGACACATTCAACTATTATCTAGGAGGCACCGGTTCGAATCCCGTCAATCCCTGAATTTTTTTCCGGCTTCTTCTATGCAATTGCGAAAAATCGTAGTCCACCTGCGAGGATCTTTTTTTTTGCTTTAAATATTCAGCAATTATACTTCACCTCTGACTTCATGGTACAATTCCAAGGAGCATAAAAGCCTTCTACTTGTCAGTGTTATATGAGGTTCCTCTCCTGAGGGACCTATGGTATTCTTCTCTTCTACAAAGTTCAGCAAGTTCAGGGGAAACTTAATTGCCTGTTGCCTGTCACTCTATTGAAGCGACAGATCGACCCATTTGCTCTAAGTAGGAAATATTCTCTCAGAGTTCCTCCTCGATTTAGTTACTTATATCAAAGACGAATCAATCTAAAACAGAAGGGCATGGAAATTTACATATATGTCCTTTTTGTTTTACATAGATATCGATGAATGTGAGGAAATGACATGGAAATGAAGGGCATGGAAATTTACATATATGTCCTTTTTGTTTTACATAGATATCGATGAATGTGAGGAAATGACATACGATTGCCCTAAGTTTTCAAGTTGTAAGAACCTAAATGGTAGTTATGAATGTGTCTGTAAAGGCGGTTATCGAAAAGAATCCGATGGAACTTGTTCAGGTAATGTTTAACATTTAATTTCATCTCTGGCAAAGGAGTTTTTTTTACTACCGTAGAGCTGAGATAACTAAGCTCAAGCTTATATATGTGTCTTTGGTGCCCACTGTAAACAAACAATACTGCAATTGAAGCCTGTTATTATTGTCCTCAGAAATTTGCTTTCCAGAGTGTGACGAAAATTCATATTGTCAGATAGGAAAATGTCTGTGCAAGAAGGGTTTTTTTCTGAGCCCAAGCCAAATGTGTCAAGCAGGTTAGTGGTTGGATTGAAATAGAATGGGATGGGTTGGGACAGAGTGGAATATTTCGACAGAAAGGATAGAATTAGGAAGAATGGGAAGGAAAGGGATAGGATATAATGAGATGGCATCGTACTCTGATGGCCATGGAGGTAAATTGTAAGCTTTCACACCAAGTCTAGCCACTGTGACAAGATGGACATTTGTTAGCCACACATACAAAGCTTTAGGATGATAGCCATCTGGCTATGCATACACTCCTTGGTTGTATGAAGACGGAGCTCATTCAATTACCTACACGTATCCAAAGATCAAAGACATTTTGCGGCCATCATCTGTCATAAGGAAATAAGCCTTGTAAACTTGGGGTGGCAGATACTTACCTATTTAAGGCCAAATTTAATCTGTTCGTTGGTGATCAATTGATTGTGTTGTAAGTGTTGCTGCAGTGTGTATGTAAGGCATATTCTGACTTTTTTCTTGTATTATTGCAGCTTTTCTGCGGTCATCAGGCGTTTCATTCCATTCTCATGTTTTGTTCCTCATAACTGCGCTGCTGTGGTCCCTGATCCTGCTCTGTCTCGTGGTCTTCCTTTAAAAAAACATCATAATCTTTGGCTTTTTTGTATACTTTCTATCTCAAATGGAAACTTCAGTGCGCTCTAAGGATGATAACATTAAGATTATGACCTCAGGAAACAACACTTAACTTACATGAAATCATATCTAAACCTTGCGAAAGTCTTGTCAATGAGGACTTTGCTAATCCAAAAACTTGTTAATCTCAGCTTTCAGAAAAAATAAAAACAAGCTCCTTTGCTATATCCTTGGCTTTTTCACTTTTCAACATTAAAAAGTGCTTCCTAATGCATACAAATGAAATTACGTAAGCAATCACGCATGCGCATTAGCCACTCCCTTTCCCTCTATGTACGTAATGGTTAGATTTGATCCAGAAATCTAGTTGGCACTTACGCTAGAAGCAGTAGCTTGTAGGTACGGTTTTACCGTCGAATACCGACCAAATTTTTCTCGGCTTCACAGATTAGTGCTATTTTTTCTATAATTATGAGGCTTCGCTGCACGCGCTGCGGGCTCCGCTGTTAAAAAAAGAGGACTGTCAGGTTTATCACAATCTCATCTCAGAGGAGATGTACTTGGAGTCTAAGTTTGGATAAAGTTAAAAGTCAGACAGTCAAGACGTTAATTAAGTCGTTCCAAATTATGTTTATCTTATATCTTGTAACTCTTCTATGGATGTCTCCTACAGCGTATTAAACAACACACGTAGGAAAATTTGACAGGATTGTTTATTTTCGTAAAACAAATGATCTAATTCAAACAAAACGTGACTTTTTACCTTTTTTTTTCGGAAACAGACAAGGTAAAATTTCTCCGATGTTAACAAAAGTTTTTCTGTGCTAAAGAACGGCATCTTATGTATTTCTTGTAGTAGAATGCCCCGACGTGGGCTTGGAGTGAATGTGAAAAAGAAAGAAAAGTAATCTCATCTGATTTATTACGATAAGCGTTGTATATGACAAAAGGGATTATGTTGACATTTCCTTGATTTTCACCTTGCCTTCTACAAACAGCAACTGTATTCATTAAATAGACATTTATTCAAAAGATTCAACCTTCTTGAATATGGATAATGTTACGGTGTCTTGTTTTCTGCGGGCACTTAGAGTTTAAAGAACCGAACCTATAATCACCAGAAAACTGAAGATCTTCGTAAAAGACGCACTCTCATGACGAGCAAAGTTCAATTTTCGATTGATATTCAGCTGTCTGAGGTTGTCTTAAACCCGTACATTTAAATGCGCGGCAAAATGGTGGTAGTGGGACGATGCAAACTGGGTGTTTGCATCATTACGAAAAGAAGCCTTGTTTCCGAAATATTATAAGAAAGCATCATATATCCATGTGGTAAAGTACGTTTTAAGAGATTTGTTTTTGGCCGCATTTCTGCCCTATTGAGAGTAGTTTTAGCCAATTTATAATAAGCAAATGTTCCTTAAGTAGCTCAAAATCCTGTCGCTTTTCTTAATCATTATCTGATTGCGAAAATGGAAGTGAACGCCGAAACAAAACGAAAAACATGCAGTATGTTCTCAAATTGGTATTTTAGGTAGGAGATATTTTGTCCAACCGTTTAGTATGTTCCTAAAGCTTTTCAGAATTCCTCTATCTAAAATAACTAGCCATTATTTTTCTTATACCTGTTTATCTTCTTTTTTTTTTTTAGAGAGAAATTAAGGAGCCAGCGACAAGTGTATTTTTTCTGGCAAGTCTAATTTCATTCAAAAGCTTGGGTTTTGCATTCTAGAAGTTTGATTAAACGTTCTATCCGAGGTGTTAAAACAGCCGCAATGAACGAAACTAATTATGGACGGTCGGATATAACAAGTGACAAAGGAGGTCAATACAGTAGTGGCTTTCTGTTTGTTTTGCCAGTCATCTTCTGCATGATTTTTATTGGAAATGTTCTTCTTCTCGTTGCTATCAAATCTTTTCGCATCCGGCGAGTTCCTGATCAGCTTGTTGGTTCGTTAGCTGTGATAGATCTTCTTAATGATTTAGGACCCGTTTTAATGTCGATCGTCGTGTTTCAAATCGATCACCGAGGGTTTCAGAGTGGACGTATAAGTTACGAGCTGTGCCACTTTTATAACTGGATTTCCTCGTTTCTTCGCCTGTCAGCTTCGTTTGTGGCGTCATTAATGGCTGTAGATTGTTTCTGCGCAACCTTACAGCCGATCTATTACCGGACCAAAGTCACATCTGACAAAGCAACCAAACTCATTCTTTGTGTCGTGTTGTCGGGGGCATTTATATCTGCACTTCCTGCAATGGGCTGGGGAAGAGTTTTAACTCACAGGGGAATTTGCTCGTTCAACTTTAATGGAGGCTTCGCTCTATGCATAGCCACATTAGGATATGTGCAACTCATAATGGTGTTGACCTGTTTCATCGCCGTAGCAAGAAAAATGAGCAAATATGAAAAGCGATTCAATGGGCTTCGACGTGGTAGGACGCTGACCTTTCTAAATGGCAGACTTCAGGCTATGGAAATGCAGACAGCAAATGAAAGGCGAATATCACATATGGATGAAAATGGTATTCAGGGTGGTAGCAATATCAAAAGAACATGCAACACCACAAGAGGTATGAGTACTTTGGCAGAGGACGACGACAGCAACAAAATTACAGAGGAAAAATGCGAACAAAATGAAATAAGACGCAGAGAATCAAAAACAGATCCCAGTGTCAATCGGTGCAGTGTCAATAGGAATGTGAAGGAGAGCCGCCAGTTTACAAAGGTTCTTGGATCAGTGGTGTTTCTATTCTATGTCAGCTGGATGCCAATCATTGTAAGCCTATCTTTAATGCGCCAGCTTTTCGTTTCTGTAGCCCGTTAGCCAGCAGTACAGGCATTTTATTGGGGCGAGTTAACGTAAAAGGTCGTGATCGTTTATTCGACAGGCCATGTTTGATCTGGCGCTAGAGTGGAAGTTGAGGGAAGAGAGCGGAAAAAAGTGAAAAGTTATCTTCGGTGGCCCACCCCTCCCTTCGCCTTCCTTTGGACCGTCGCCTCCCCCCTTGGTAAAAAATCTCATTCTTTCCCCAGCCTTTCCCTGCTGTGAGAATCAAAAGTGGCAGCTATGACTCACCGAGATATTACTGAGCACTCGCCCGCCAAAACTACACCTCTGCAAGCTTTTAGCCAGTTACCCGAGAAACATTTTGTTTCTGTCTGTAAAGAGGATTGAGGGGAGGGGGGAAGAGGAAGGAGGATACGCCCACCAATAAAACCTTAGTGCAAAATCTTTGTTCATTCAGTCCGGTCAGAGTGGGCACTTAAATTGATTTTTGGTTGGTTTATCCACACAGTTTACTATCACCGCAGAGTTAGCCACAGGTCATCATCACGAGGTTCTCCAGTCTCTATCAGCCCAGATGTCTCTATTGTGCTCTATGTTCAATCCCTGGGTGTACTGTGGTCTTTCGCGTCCCTACAGGGCATCATACATTTGTGTCCTTAGGAGGCTGGGGAGAGTATGTGGCCTTTCCAAAGCCAGTGAACACGACATCAAAACAATTGCTGATACAGGCAGCCGTTTCAGAACTTCCAGTAAGTATTCTTTTTTCCTGCCAACACTACTTATTGACCAAAATACTGACTAAAAAGGTGACTGTTCTTTCTCTTCCATACAGCACGACGGGTATTTCCAGACACAAGATGAGGAGAACAACATAGTCAAGTTACTGTTCAAGATCAAGATAATTAACTTCAAACGGTCAACAGATAACATTTTAATTTGTGTATTGCTAGAAACGAAAACAAAAATAACTACAACAACAACAACAGCTCATTTTACGGTTTAGCAGGGACGTGTGACCAACGCCTACCCTTCTTTAGTAAATATTTTCACTCTCGACACTTAATTTATCAATTGTTACATACTGGAAATAAGATAAATCGAGCAAAAAATTTATACAGTCGATTGCTTAAGACACTACATTTTGAGAAAAATAGTTGAAGTGATATTAGAAAAATTTTTCCATTAAAATAGAATCGTTTTCTCTCTAAATAAGTCAACATATTACTATCAAAATATTCTCAAAATGGCTTTTGGCTTAATGTCCCTCGACTGTCTATAATAAATATATCTACAAATATCAATTCATTAACTCTATGCCACAAATAAGTAATTAGAGAACGCTTTCATGTCAACTGCGTTTTTCTCTAAAATCTCGAAAGGTATATATCACCCAGTATCGACTTTTGGCTTAGTGTCCCTCGACTGTCTATCATAATTATATCTACATATAACCGTTCAGTTACTCAATATCATAAATGATCGATCAAAAAACGTCTTAATTTAAACTGTATTTTTCTCTAAAATCTCACTTGGTATATATTACGGAAAATCGATTTTTTTCATGCATATTTACATACTACCATCAATATAACAAGCTTGCCTCTCAAGACTGAAGATTAAAGAACCGCAGCGTTACAGATGGTATTTTTTTAAGAGCTACTTGTGTATTTCAATTCATTTGCGAAATCGCCAAATTACAAGTCAATATTGATGTCTCCAAATCAGGAAACACTATATTTTTTCGTTCCTCTTAGAATCTGGACATCTGAACTCATTAAGAATATTGGAAAACATAGTATTTATCATCATTAAAAACGTCTAAATACAATAAATTGATCTCAGACTATGTACAAGAAATCACTTGACATTTCAGCAGCTATTGGACAGTGTATTAAATACATATTAGCCAAAACTTATAGTACTTGTTACTCAAGCACTCCGTAGAGGGTTAACCTACGTGTTTGTTCGTATTTAGTCGCTCACTGCTGTCGAGGCTCTAAAACGCAAGCGCGAGTACAGGTTTACAAATGAAGACTTCATGAACTGGTTGAAAAGCATGAAAAAGTGTTGTGTGAAGGAGAAAACATATTTCGTATGCCTTTCACACAGATAATTTCATATCCACAATAAATTTTCATTTGAAAAGAGTGAGAAAACTGTGCATACTTTTACCATAACGAGCACCTGCCTACACGCAGGTATGCAACTAGTATTAAAGGTTTGCAACACAAATGAAAACCAACAGGTAGATTCACTAATTTCTTTAACCAATAAACCACCGTCTGAAGAAAACAGTGTGTATCCCACGTTGCCTTAATTGGAATCAATCTTCTTGTGCGTCATGGAACACTTCCTCATTGGAATCTTCAGAGTCTTTAAAATTAGAGAAATAAAAGTATTTTAAAAATTTCACACGATTAACAAAGCCTTTTTTGGTAGACAAAGGCGCACTGCCGGCTTTCACAGAGCTTCTCACCCCAGCAAGCTCTTCATAAGCTTTCTGGAGAGTAACCTGTAATAAGCTATCATTCGAACCTAGAGGAATAGCCATACCCCCGATCGTTCTATGTCACAAAAACCGTTAAAAAGAAGTCGCTATTAAATTTCCCCCATTTGCTTTAGGCCTGAGTATAACTTCGACATATTAGGAAAAAACAGCGTCAGGATTACCCTAAATGAGTAGAAGTTTGGAAAACCCCCTGTTTTGCTTCAAAACTTTTTGACATTTAATTACCTTCGATTATTGAAAGTTCACCTAACTCGTGGAGATAAGGTACCATTCCTGGCTGCTCGTCGGCTGCTGGTTCAACTACCTCCTAAATGATTAGATAACAACTCTCAGCGTTCTTGATCTGGACTTATGAGTTAATGTCCATTCATAACAAACACAAATTCCCAAGAAGCAAAATTATAGGTTTGTCTTGAATGACAAAATAGAGTCAGCTCAAACCAACATTATCAAATAATAATTGTTAAATTCTGCCAAAGTAAGTCATAATATTACCGGCGAACCCAAAAATTCACTTAGATAACTCTTGATCCGGTTGAGTACCAAGATGCATTATGCATACATAACCTCACTGCCCCCAGCTAAAGATACTCTTGGTCTAAACAAATTGCAGGTTCCCAGATCAGCATTGGTAAGATTCCAAAGTTTGAAGTACACAATGTGGTTAAGTCAAAAAGCTAAGATATTACGTTACAACAGCCGCTTTGGTACCAAATGCCACAGTTACAGTCACTACTAACGTAATATACCACTTTAATTACCAAACGGTAAAGAATTGCACTTACACTGCTATCTGACGCATGGTTCAATTTTACAACTGCACCGCTTCCTCCACAAGCAACATCATCTGCAACATCATCTGCTCTCGTCACCTCAAACCGCAACTCTGCCATCAATAAACACAACCGGCGATTTTTCTGAAACAATGATCACATAAACATTCAATCATGGTTCATGTGGCAAGAAAACGAAAACCCAATCTCTAGTTTTGAAATTTGTTTCTGAGTGTAACTTCTCCTGTACAGTCCACATTAAAATATGAAAAAGAAAAGAGGGAACCACAAGGAATGAAATGTGGTGACAGAAACTGCCTTCGAAATACGACTAAGGGTTGCTTGTGCAACAAGTATCATGATGCATTGAAGAGACACGTTGCTAAGGGAAAAATCTTTGCCAGACACTTTTGAGCTGTAACTGGCCTGCATAAAAAATAAACAACAACAAGAACAACAACCTAACTAACAAACAATAAAAACACTCAATCTAATGTCAGCAAATCCTTTGCGAGAAATGTTTAAGAAAATGTTGGTTCTTGTGAAGAGCTGGGCTTCTTCTTAAAAGTGCAACAATCACGTCGACTCTATGATTCACAAGTCTTAAATCAGTGAATTATATTTCGACCACAATGTTGAAGTAAACAGAGTGTAAACCTAACCTCAAGTATCGTATTGATCAACTGTTTGTGATCTTCCAAATGTCTCCTTAGCTGAAAGGAAAGAAATACAAGTTCTTTCAGTTACAAAAATGAATGTATTTATAAATCCCCTTCACAAAATAACTATAAACCATCATAGTCTCATCAATAGTTTTTCACTAACATTCATGTAAGATTAAGTTATCTCTCTCGTATCACATTTCACAAAGGCTAATCTCAAATAAATGTATAAGAAAGTTGAATAAACTGCATACAAAATTCGTTATCTAATTTAATTGGATAATGAACCTGTTTAAACGTATTAGCCCTGATTTATAATGGTA